TGACTTCAACATTCATCCCAAATTAAAGTTTTAAAACACTATAAAAGATCTCTATAAATGTCAGTAAAAAACAAACAGGTACCAGGAAATAAGCAGCAGAAGCTCCTGGCATGTGTTGGCTCCTACTTGACCTTGCTCTATATTCATTGTCCAACAGGTATAACAAGAAGTGCCCAGTGGCACCTCCAGGGTGCAGGAGGGACATCCCAGCCCACCTCCCACACCAGCACTCACAGATGCTCCCAGACACACTCACACAGGGATGGAGTCTCAGCAGGCTCCCCTCGTGACAGCTGCAAATGCTTCAAGTGCCAGCACACAGAGGAAAGGGCAGGAGGTCAGTGATGGGGGCCACGTCCCCCCACACCTCCATGGAAATCTATTTCAGCATTGCCCATGGCTGTGCAGGGTCTTGCAAGGTCTGCAGTGTTTTAGGGATGTCAGAAGGCTGAACAGGACAAGTGCAAGGATGCAAAGGCTGTCAGGTTATTTCTGACCAAAACCCATTTACAAGCAGTACAGCTATTTATAAGTACATTAAAATAATATGAACTTAACCTTACATTTACATTCTTGTTTAGTTATATTATGCTCCTCTGAAAAAAAGATTTAAATATGATTACTGATCCATTACTGAATTTGGAAAGCCTTGGGGAACAGTATAGAACACATACAGCCATCTGTAATCTGCTCACGCAGATGTGTGAAAATCAAAGACAAAACTTGCTGAGGTAACAAAAACGTCTTAATTCAATTTGTAATGCAGCAGCACAATCCCTGCGTAACAACATTAAATTTGTCTAAGAATATGGGCTTAAATATCCTCTTTGTTGAGGTAGTTCCCACGTGCTCCCTGTGATCCAGGCAAGCAGACAGTAGGTGAGCAAAATATAAAGAGTTGCAAGTTTCAGCTGGCCAGGAACGACTCATGCCAGACAGTGACAGATCTGTTCAGATGGGAACATCTGCTGCTACTGCTGAGGATACCAGGAATGCTTGGACCAAATCTATCCTATAAAAGGTTGGTGGATCTATGCCACAGCTCAGGCCAAACTTACTAGTGCAAGCATGGTTTGCTCAGGGAAAAGCCCTCACACCCCAGTGTAATTTACACCGAGCTCTCAAACGAAATTAATTAAACCAGGGCAATGGATCTACACTAAGGCAATCACCAGGACAAAGAGTGCTACCAAAAAAAGGGCAGGTTTCTGGCTGATTTATACAGAAGAGAAAACCAAGAGCTAACCTGGCTTGAATATAACTGCTCTGGGATGCACAGCAGCATCACCTTGAGCCAAACCACACTTTGTCCTGTGGCAGTTTCTTCCTGAGGAACCCTCCTTTTCTCAGGCTCAGGAACATACCACAAGATGTTAGAGATATGCAGGGAGACTTCTGTGCTTTGTAAATGGCAGGATTTGCTCCAGGGGCACACAGAGGGGTTAGATAAACCTGTACACATAAAGGAATTCTGTAGGAATTCACACAACTGCTCCAGACCTCACTGGCCTGAGAGAGCTACAAACCACTTGGCATTAAGCAGTTGAGGCAAAACTTCAAGAATGAAACTACTACAAAAATTAAAATTCTTACTGGTCCCACAGACTGAAAATTTGAAAATGCAACAGGCCTTTTTTATTTTTCTGTACTTGCAGCAGCCAATGGATCAGACAATCAGGTGGGACCCATGACACCAATAACACTTCCAATGTGTTTCTGTGCCCCTTCATGCCTTTTTTTCTCTCACCACTGAAGCTGCTATCTTTGAGCTGCATGGATAATCCAGTTGCCAAATAACTAGTGAGAAAACACATCACTATAATTTACAAGTGTCCTACTCATAACCAGTCAGCCAAAGAGCTTCCATGCAAAACTAAAAAACAGGTAACGCTCCTCTCTCCGTGGCTGCACAAATCCTTCAGCACACACAGACTGCTCACACCCAACCACCCCCTCAAAGTCCATGCCTACTTATTTTCCTACTCACACCCTAAACTAGGCATTCATGCAAACCCTACAGCTTCTGAACTCGCCCACCAACTTGCCCACAGCCACAGCACATAATGAGACAGCCAGACACTGCAAACACCACAGCAACTCATACTTCCACTGCTTCACTTCAAGTTTCACGTAAACGATTGTTTTTATTCCAAGTTTTACTTCTGAAAGTACTTAATGGATTTTTCTGAGCTTTATATTGGAATTTTTCAAATGAGAGCAATCTGAATCAATTGGCATTTGGAGACTGTAGCAGCTTGTGGTACCAGAGCTTTGGAATCAGCCACCCTTAAAGTACAGGGGCAGGAAATGCTTGTGTCTCCTGCAATAACTGTTTATATAGAGGCCTAAACTGATTTTCTTTGAAAAACCAACACACAAAATAAATGGGAGCTGCACAGACTAGGCACAAGGTGGAGATTAATTTCAACTCCAAAAAAAGCCACTGTGTTTCCTTGGCTGGAAACACAATGCTCCACCATTGGCAACCTACCTGACCAATCCTACCCAATGTGAAGACCAGCTGGACTAAGAGAGAGATCCTGGAGTGATAAAAAGAAGAGAGACAGACAGCAAGTAAAAATTAGGCTCTGCAAAGGTAGGTAATACAAATGTGTTTCCTAATGTGCCATGCAAGAACTGTATTTTTGGTTCTTTACATCTTGAAAGCCTGAGGAGAAGACATGAGTAAGCTTAAAAAAAAAAAAAATACACCAAACCTCACACTTAATCATATTTATATATTAATGCATGTAACCTACTTTCACACATAGTTAATGAGTTCCTTCATGAGATTTGAACCTGAACAATTCTGAGTTTAAAAAAACCACAACTCTAATGACTACAAGTTTTGTTGCTAATGTAGTTGTGTCTGGAGCTCTTATTCCTCACACACAATTAACCCATGTTTCCCCAGTACATTTTTCACAGATTAACAAAATGCAAAACTTAAAGATGAAATTCTGTGAAAAGGCACTTCTCCATAGGAAGATTTACAGTATGTTTTAGTTAAGCTTTTTTTTTTTTCACGGTAAAAAATTTGACATTTTCTCTAAACTCATCCTGCTGTAGCAGTAGAACAGCAGTTTTTCCAAGGACATGACCTCTTACCACCCACAGCAACTCTTCTGAAACCTAATGTCAGGCATATGGCCATCTCAAATATGATGTCCAATGGCCTAAAAAGCATTCAGGCATTTTGAAGAGTATGAATCAATGGCTCATTTCTATTTCACATCTTTGATTTCTTTCACCACAGTCTTCCAAACATGCTTCTCAAGACAAGCAGTGACGAAAAATTATTAGTAATACATAGGCTCCACCACATCCTTTTTGCAAATTCTTGATGATATTCCTTCTATGTGCATTTTATTTCATGTTATATCTCAGCTCTGCTAGCTCAGTCAGTGCAGAGAACTGTTTACTTAAGTCTGTGTATGATCACTGCTATTTAAAAGTTATTCACCGGCCTCATATTCTATTTATTTTTAGTTTATTTTTGTACTTGAGAATGTTGAAGTTGTACTACAGTGGTCACCCAAAATAATGTATTGCCTAAAAGCAGATTATATGACACTGCACAAGGTTTCATTTTTTCAGACTGTAGCATAAAGAATTCCCATCCTGACCTAGCAAAAAGATGCAAATTTTATGACAGCTTCACAGGAAGCAGCAGCTGGAAGAACTGTCCAAACAGTACAAAAAGTCTGCTACAGATTTATGATAATCCTGTGTTTAAATGATACTGAAGGTCTGCTCCTACTTTACACATGAAAACAAAACAAATGTCTTTATTACCTGCAAATGAGTGGACTTAAAAACCCTTTGAAATTAACCACTTGTATGTTTTGTTTACCCACTCTGACATGCAGACATGTACCATAACATCTCGTGGAGGCTATATTCTTTTCACCTGCTGTCACTGGGCTTGTCAGCACTGAGTGTGATGGGGTTCAGCCTGGTGTCAGCAGGACTTTCCGTGAGCTGGGTTTCCCTGCACACACAGCCCAGGAGCAGCAGTTTGCCAGGCTGAAACCATGACTGTGCTAATGCAGCTCATCCTCCCCAGCACTCGCTGTCAGTGGCACAGTTCTGACTGCACATGCTGGTGACACCCCTGCCAAGAGCTGCCAGCGATCCTGGCACGGCCAGGCTTTGTCCCTCTGGCAATTTCCGAGTGATGTTCTTAGATGCTGCGGGGGCACAAGCGATGGGGAGACAAATCTGTATTTTTATTTTTCTAATTTATAAGATGATGTACTTCAGAACCCATGACCACCACCTGGAGCCCTGTCTTGCTAAAAGACATTAAGGAGAAAAAAAAATGATGCTGAAGTGCTGACTCGGTGCGGCCGAGGGACACACAGAGCCCAGCACCTCACAATGCCCTGGGATGCTGCCCCTCGGCCGGACACCTCCCTCACCATCCTCACACTTCACTCTTTAGGGATTACTTGTTCACACCAGACGCCTGCAGCAATGAAGTTGTTGGGAGGATTTTTTTCCCTGGTGGGTGACACAGCCTCTCAGAGCTAGAAAAGCAGCGGTGTGATGCCGAGAACACGACGGCTCCTGCGGAGGGGCCCGGCGGCACCGGCCGGAGGCAGGGAAGGAGGGAAGGAGGGAGGGAAGGAAGGAGGTGCCCCAGCAGCTGCTCCCACAGAACCACAGAATAGCTGGTGTTGGAAGGGAGCTCTAGAGATCACCCAGTCCAGCTCCTCTGCCAAGGCACAGGACAGGAGCTCCTACCTGGAGCAGGTGACACAGGAACGCGTCCAGCTGCGGTTTGAATGTCTCCGGAGAGGGAGCCTCCACACCCTCCCTGAGCGCTCGGGCCAACTCCGGGCCGAGGCGCAGCCGGGGTCCGCAGACCCCCCCGCCGGCCTTTCCCGACTCCTTCGCCCTCACACTCGGCGGATCCCGCTCCTTACATAACCCCGGCCCCGCTCCCCGCAGCGCGGCCCCTCCGAGCGGCCGCCCGGGGGCTGCGGGCCCGCCCGTACCTGATGTAGGGGCTGGCGGCCGCCAGGATGTTCTTCTGCACCGGGATCTCCTCGCCCTCCAGCACCAGGTGCGCGTCGCAGAACCGCGTCTCCTCCCGGAACGAGCTGAGCGCCCGCAGCAGCCGCGCCGGGTGCTGCGGGTCCGACACGGCGCTCGGGCCCGACATGGTGCTGCTGCCGCCGCCGAGCCGGGCCGGGCCGGGCCGGCTCAGTCCCTGCCCTCACACCATGGCTGAGCGCCCGCCCGCCGCTGACATCATCTCCCGGCATCATCTCCCCGCGCCGCCCCGCGGGGGCGGCCCGGCCCGGCGGCCCTCGGGCACCGCGGCCCCTCCGCGGGCGGGGCGGGGAGGGGACGGCCCGCGGAAATCTCGGCTTTGTCTCCTCACGGCTTTGGAATGTCACTCAAGGAGGTCCAGAGAAGGGAACGGAGCTGGGGGGGCTCAGCCTGGAGAAAAGGAGGCTTAGGGGGGACCTTGTGGCTCTTCACAGCTCCCTGGCAGGAGGAGGGAGCCGCGGGGGGATCACTCTTGTCCAGGCAACGAGCGACAAGACAAGGAAACAGCCCTAAGCTGCGGCAGGGGAGGTTTAGGTTGGACATTCGGAGAAATTTCTTCCCAGAAAGGGTGATCAGACATCGGAACGGGCTGCCGAGGGAGGTGGTGAAATCACCATCCGTGGGTCTAAGGAAAAGACTGGAAGTGGCACTCCATGGTCGGGGTGACACGGTGGTGTTTGGTCATAGGTTGGACTCGATGAGCCAGAGGTCTTTTACAATCTAATTGATTCTGTGATGCCGTAAAAATGGCCTTTTATTGGTTCCCTAATATGAGCTGGAGGTGAATGTTATGGGTGTAGGCACAAGGAAAAGTAAGAGAATGAGAATTAAATACAGCAAGACTCATTGTGGCAGTGTCCCTTTCCACAGCTGCCCACTGGAAATGTGGCCTTTTCCAGCAAAAAAGATCTTTAGGACAGTTCTCATGGTAAATTTTAGGCCGTTTATTATCGTGCTTAATTGCACATTAAGAGATTACTTGATTCCATCTGCTTTCTTAACAGCATCCAACATTAAAATAGTGAAGCTATTTGCACTGAGTGAAAGTGTTTCACAAACTGTGATCTGCTCTAAAACAGACACCCAGCTGGTGCTGCTGGGAGGGACCAGCACAGCAGCTCACTCTGCTCCCTGTGCTGACAGGCTCTGGGATCTCCCAGCCCCTGGAACACCCAAATGGATGTCATGCTGCCCATGCCTTCTCTGGAAAAATAACATTTTCAGAGGGTCTCATCTAATAAAGCTGTGGTGGGTCACATGCTTTTATTACTTGCATTTCAGAGAAATGTAACAAAATTCTATCATTTATTTAGTTTGATGGCGTCTCCAAATCATTTTACCACTCGGAAAATGAAGCAGGTTGTCTGGAAAAGACCCCATAGGAACTGAATTCCTTCACAAAGGCAGCCTTGTTCTTTCCAAGCTGGACACAATGCTGGTTTGTTGTGCAGATGGAGACTGCAGCTGGAACATCCTCACACAGCACCCAGCAGCCCAAACCTTGCACCCAGGGCCTGGGTGAAGGGTGTGCTCTGCCCTGTTGCAGCCAGGCTTTGCAGCTGAACACTTGCTGAAGTGCTCCCTGGCTGGAGAGGGGTCACAGGCAGGAGCACACTGCTGCAGCTTTGTTGTGCAGCTCTGAGCAAGAATTTTAGGAGCAGAGGATGTAGGACAGAAGGCCAAACCCACAGCAATGTGCATGAAACACCAGTGGCTCTGCAACACTTGTTGTACATACCCATTTACAAATATTAGAAGGCCACTTTTTTCATGCTTGGGTGTAATTATTCAGGATGTCAGGTGTAGGCTGAGGATCCAGAGGACACATTCTCAGCTCTCTTTGAGGGTAATGAAGGCAGAGAGCACACTGCTCCTTGGCTGCAGGGGAAAGATGTATTTTGCTTGTCATTAATACTCAGGTAATTGCAGACCCAAGGGAGCAGTGGTTTAAATTATTGCGAAAGCTGTCATTGAGTGGCCTGGTTATTTTGAAAAGAAAGACACTGGTGTGTTCCCCTGCCACCTGCACAGATTGGTACAGAGGAAAACATTGTTGCATTTCTGGTTTTTAAGGCGTCCTCGTAAACACTGTTTCTGCTTCCTCCTGTGCCTATGTGGGGCAATGGGAAAAGGTGTAACAGATAATATCCAGTTCCAGAGAACAAATTCATTGCTATACCTTGTTATTTGTTCCATTTAATGAAAGTGTTAACAAAAAAACCCCCACCAAACCAAAACAACAACAAACCAAACCACTCTATCAAGGTCCATTTGTAACATCTCTGAGGTAATTAATTATATGTATGCATACCCGTGGCCTGATTTTCTCACTCAACTATGTATTTTTCTTTTAATGGAGATAGTTATCTTTACTATTTTTTATTTGCTGTCACTCCATCTAGATTTGTGTTAAGCCATTATTATGATAATTCCATGAATTTTGTTGGGCTAATTTATGACTTAAATTGGTGCAAAAGAAGAATCAAACCTTTCTGGCCCTTGAGATTTCATTCACAGCAAAGGGTGTCAGAAGCAAACCAAATGACACTCATTACCACGTGCCATGTTACCACATCAAAAAAACCCCACGAGCCTTGCAGCCACTTGGCAAAGCATATCTGCATTTCCCCTTGCTTCTGTCAGCCTGGAAATGATAGTGTGTTACCATATTCAGGGTAAATGTTTCATCAGATTGGCATTGAAACCACTAAAAACATCTTTGAACAAATTTGTGATTAGCTGTATGGTTTTATTCCTATTGTCTCTGCTGCAGGAGGATACTGGGATTAGCAAATGCAGATTTACATCACTGTTTTTCTCCTCAGGTTAACTGCAAACTTAATGCCAATCAAATCCTGTGTAGTACTGACCAAGGGAAGAGGGCACATCTCATTTAAAAAATCATACCCAAGACAAATTCTTATAATTTATTTATTTCTACATGAATGTAAATAACACATTTGCTTTCTTTGACTACAGGCTTTTTTTATGATGAGTGTACCACCTATCCTGTCATCTCTACCAGTAAAAATTATCTCCTCAGAAGTCAAGCAATTCCTGTATACAAACCTATGATTATCCAAAAAGAACCCTGTGAGTACTACAGAAGAAATTCTAGAGACAAACTCTTAGAAGAAAATCTGTAATAATGGTTAGACTTTTGATTCACTGCCACCTTTTAATTCTAGAAATGTATTTGTGGACCTTTGTTAAATCTAAACTTTTTCATATGAAAAGAAACAACCCCAGAGCTGATGTTTTTTGCCAATATCACAAGTCAGTCTTCTCTTCCAGTACTGGTTCCATATTATTTACAAAAATGGAATTAAATTTCTTCTTTAGAAGATAAAGTTCTATTAAATACTAATGGTAATATGACTTGAAAACACTAAAAGTGACTATTTTTGCACACACCTTACTGAGGTGTTTATTTCCATTTTATGGAACATGTAAACATTTGAATGCCAAAACCTGCATATTTTAACTAGATCTGACCACAGTGTTTGGGGTTTTTTTTTACATTAAAAATAGTCTGTATATCTTTATCCTAACAAAGTGCAAAGACTTGCAGAGGAACAGAGGACTGGTTGTTACAGAGCAGACAGGAGCTGTGGATGATGTTGGTTCAGTTCCTGCTCTGCCACAAACACGTTAAGTAATCACAAACAGGCCACCAAGCACAGATTCTCCTGTGGTGGGGAGGGAATAAATGACAACAATTTCATTCTGTTTCCTTCCTATGAAGCACTGTGAGCAGCACAGGCACTGAGGGGATGTGTGTGTCAAAGTGAGAGGTACCTGAGCTGTGTGGTGATACAGACAGACCAGATGAATGCCTAAAATGGATGGATGTGCACCTGGTTTTCTCCATCAGTAAAAACGCCTCCAACAGCAAAGATATCTACAATGAGAAAATAAATTTCAAAGCAAAAATGCTCTCACTTAGAGAAAAGCCAGTAACTCAAATTAGGAATACAGTGGTGGTGAGGGGGGGGGATGGTGAGAAATGCCATTTCTTTAACACAACCAGTCACACTCTGCTTGGTACTTGAACTTTATGTTGAAATGTGCATTTTAATTGTTACTGTGAGTCAGAGTTGTGCACTTTTATTAGGAAGCATCTGGTACAGGCAAGGATAAACACATGTGAGAACATGGGTGCTCCTAAGCAGACATAAAGCAAATGCTTAGCTATGGCAATAACAGCTTCTAGTGTCAGCTACTGTGGGGTTCAGATGAGGCCTAAATTAGATCTTCCACTCTTTCCCTAAACTGTTTGTTGCACATGTGTGTGTGAGTTCTGCTAGGAATACACTGCCCTCATTCACATACATACTGCTATCAAGAGAGAATAGTGGCAATAGCAAATACTACAATTCTTCTTATCTTTTACACAATGTAATCATCTAATTACATGAAATGCCATGGCAGATATTCTGCCCAAGGAAAACTGATTTAAATACAAACTGCTTAAGATTGAATGTCACTAAATTATAACTGAATGCTATATATAACCATGTACTCTATTTCAATAAAGTTCCTAGGTTTTGTCAACATAAAAGCTAAAAATACACCATGAAATTAGAAAAGCTGCGGGGAGGGGTTAGGTTCTGGGTAAGAAAAATGTAGCACCTCAGCATCATACTTTGGTTATGGCAGAGTTTAAGAAATCAAGCACCAAGAGAATACATTGCCATGCATTATTGGTATCATGGTAGATAGTTTAACATGAGGTTTTCTGTTTTCTGGCAGGAGACAACTTTCATTGTCAGCTGAGTCTTGCAACAGCCCATGGAAGTTGCATGACCTGCAGACGTGTGACTCATGCCATGTGTCACCCTATGAATACAGTACTTCATTTGCTCAGAAAGTTTTGCTCTACTCAAATAAAACATTTCTTGTTACCTTTCTCTCCTATTCCTTGCCCCACAAGCTGTATGCAACATTAGCACTTATATTGAAATTCTTCTTTTGGAATAGTGATGTACCATTTGTGCACACAATCATTTGTAATAAAGTAATTTCTGTCTCTTTTAAGAGATTATATGTAGATATTGAGGATGTTATAATTATCATTTCTGATCATAAGAGAAGGCTGTTCCTGAAGGATATTTTCCCACCTTCAGTAGAAGGTTATGTCAGTCTGTGCCATACAAAAAATAGATTTTTACTCAGTCTCAGTTTTCGTGTCTTGCTGTGGTATAAAGATTCCATGCAGGTCCATATGCATTTCCACATTTACTATGGCTCGACCCAGCTCTGTGAATGTTTTAGCATCCAAGACAAGTAGGAAGGGTGGATCCTTTGGATCAGTCTTCACAACACAAGTCAGAACAACACCTGTGACATACAAATGAAGAATTAGAAACATAGGAAAGTTTCACTAAGCAGAAAAGATCACCCCATCTCAAAGTGGAAGCATCAACCCAACTTTCTTGACTAAGAATATTGAATCTTGTAAGATTTAATACAAAACTCATGTAACCCAGCTTTCAGAAGGTTGCCATTATTTTACCATCATCCTCTTCTTTTGCATCAGGGCTGGGAACAAAAACAGGCTCGGATGGCCAGCAGTCATCCTGTCCCCACTGGAGCATTTCCTTTGTCTGGGTATTAAATTTTGCAATCTACATGGTTGTGACAAAAAAAGAAAAATATCAGTGACCCTGACAGTGGCTTTTTCCAAAGGTACAACATGAACAGATTGCTGGCAGGGGGACCAATGTTAAGAGTTAAGGCAGGTATCATCACAAGAAAAAACATCTGGAAAATGTTAAATTTTGGAGTCACATTCTATGGCTGCATAATCACACAATGTTCTTTTAACTTCATTTCACTAGATTACAATTGCACCTTTCATTTATGGGTGTTTAATAGTTCACAAATGCTAACAGGCCACAAGAGACCCTTCACTGTAAGTAATGCCCCTCACTTCAGAGAGCCCAAGACACAGAATATTTAAGTGACTTGTTCCAAATCTCTGAGATTCCATAGTAAAGCAGGAAACAGGATTTAAGCTTGTCATTTTCTAATCCTGTGAGTTATTTTCCTTTTATTGCTACTTCCATATTCCTCAAGGCCTTCTGCTGGGCAGTAGGGTAGATAGGCCAGAAGAAAGGCTGTTCCTAGTGAGGTGTAAAGATCAAACCAGTGAGGCAGACACTGGTGTTTCCTGAAGGACCAGAGTGTGGATTTTCATCCCACTGAGTGGCCAAAGCAATGGCCAGAGGGGATGCCTGGCATTTTCAGTTCAATTCCATTAAGGCCTTTTCTCTACCCATAGAGATGCAGTTCTATTCTTTTCCATTTTGACCTTTATCCAAAAAAATACGTTTACACAAAAGTGAAACTATTCAAATTACTGGAGGAAGAATTAGAAAGAATTCTCTCTCCTAGCCAAGATGACAGCACTTTCACTGACAGACTTTACCTAAGGATTAGGTTGTTGTGCTTGCGTTCATTAAACTGCAACTGATGTGAAAAAAGATCTTCCTACCAGCACCTTTTATTATGTTTGAGTCAAGCAGAGATTATCTACACTGTAAATAATGAACTTGCATTTGTTTGAGTTATTGTCAGATGTGCTGCAATAAATTTTCTTGCATCATGCAGAAATCCAGCTTTATTTTGTAATCAGTTGTGGTAATTATATGCAAGAACCAACAGTGACTGCAATTTGTGCTGCCTTGTAGTCACAGAACAGGAATAGTAAAGAGTGAGTTTGTCCATATAATACTCATATATTTAAATCTTTAATTTATCCTAATTTTATTTAATCTTTAAATCTTAATTAAATACTTTCCCTGTTAATCTATTTGTACTCCAGGCTGTCTCCTGGCATCATGCACATGTAAACAAAGCATTTGCTACCTCTAATGGAGAACTAGCCAGCAAAATATAAAAATTAGATATTGTTTTAATATTTAAAATTTATTAGGTAGTATTGCAATATCTTATTTTTCTGCTAGGCTTTCTAAAGGGAAAAATATTAAATATATACATGTAAATAATACTGCTTTTTCCTACTCTCTCCTTTGTAGCTCCTGGCTCATCACAGAAGGTTCAGCCCAATTTAGCAGAAAAGTGAGGACCTCAGTAGCTATTCAAGAGACCTTCATGGAACATAAAGCTGGAGTAAGAAGCCTGAGTTTATGAATACTTTATGAGGAAAATGGTACAACATGAACTTATGAGAATTTAGGCATTTCATGTTTCTTTGCATATGAATGGCCCACCAATGGGAAAACACTGACTTTATAAATGTTAATTATACCCTTGTAGGAACTGGACTCCACTGGACTTGTGTTGCAAAGACATGCTTGTATTTTTTGCCATTGTAGTCATAGTTGATGCGAGGCAGTTCTATCCCTGCATAAAATAAAGTTCAAGACTTAGGAACAAGACAAAAGAAAGCCTCAAATGTACCTCTACATAGACACACCAATCTTCACAAGGTTTTGCCCTGTAAAAAACCTTGGAACTACTTAATAAAGGTGTTGTATAGACTTTCAATGTCTGAATTTCTAAGAATCTGAAGATGGGTACTAATAGAAGTAAGCCAGGGCTGTTAGTTCAAAAGGCAACCATTTTTTATTCTTAGACAGTCATTAGACTGGAATTTATGAGGGCTTTTCTGGTTTGGGTTTTTTTTTCTTTCTTTATAACTGGGATAGAATTGGAGGCTACCTTTCTAAGAAAAGACTTTCACATTAGGTAATTTTGTATTTACATATTCCTGTTATTATCCCCAGATAAAGGGTTAAAAATCCTCTTTCAAAGACAATCTTTATAAAATGCAGCTAAACTTGAAGTACTACTTGTAACAGACTTATTTAACTAAAATTACTCTTTTAATAAGTAGATTTGCAAGGCATATTAATAGTTGCAAGATCAGACTTGGAATCCTGTATTAATACAAAACTGATGTAGTATCAGATATTTAAAAGATCTATCTCACCTTCACATAGTATTTCTGGTTGGCAATAGATGCTTCCATCTTTCTCCTTTACAGCAGTTGCAGTAGAGGGAAGTGTGACTAAATTAGAATCCACTTCAGCATCCTGAAAGAGAAAAATGCTGGAAATGCCATGGAT